CTACTCAACTGATAAATTTAAAAATATTCTTTGATTCTAAAGGGAAAAAATAATCTACTAGTATTTTAAACAGAAAATAAGACAACTTTGGACAAAAGGGAAGATATGGACTTATTGATAGTAATACAATAGTCATTCTTGATCCCATTTTATAAGATCAATCTTTCTGTCATTGTCAAATGAATATATTCATGGTCAGGTGGGGCATTTCAAATAAGCTCCCATGGTTTGAGTGTCCTTAAACACACAAAAATCATTCCTATATATTCTTCAATTTTATTTCAAGAGGAATTATCATTGACTTTATTTTCTTCTCTTGAAGTTCATCTTGTCTTTTTCATTCATCTTGTGTTTTTTTTTATAGATTTTCCCCTTATAATTTCATTCCTTTCTTTCCTTTTCTCTTTCAAGATCTTTCAAACTTCTTTCTTTTTCATTCCTATTTTTCTTTTTAAAAAAAAACTTCATTCATCTATCTACATATTTTTCTTCCTTCTAACAACTTTCTCTTTTTTCTTTTCAATATTTGAGATTTATTTTTTGGATTGTCCTTTATTCTCCTTTGCTGGATTTACTCTCTCTTAATACATTTTTTTTGTCTTTACTGAATTTAGTTATCATCAGTTAAAATGTCTTTTTTGTTTCGATAATCTTTTTTCCCCCCTTGTAGATTCATGTGCAATCACAAAATCTTTAAAGTGTCACAATGTTTTTTTTGTTCTTGTCATTATTACAGCCTTTCTTATTTTCAGCATCTGCATCCTTCATAGAAACCAGATTCAAGGTCGGAACTTAAAAGAGGAAAACAAAATTGTCATCATCTTTTTACTGAGGATAAAGTATGAGAAAAAATTAAAATGAGAAAAATATAAATTTCAATTTAAAACAGAAAAGATTCACAAGCAAAAACACAATGGAATAAAAGAAGCAAATTTACTAACAGAAACAAATTAATGGCTGTTACTATATGACAGTTACTAACACAAATGCAATCACATAAAGAGTACTAATATTTGCTGTGACTTATTCACATTAGTAAGAGATAAATCAGATGCTAAATATTCAGGAGAAGTAACTTATTGTTAACATTTACTAAAAGGAACAGTTCAACATGCAAATTACAAATTGATGATACCAAAATCAAACAAGTACAAAAATTTAAATATCTGGGAAATATTTTAACAGACGACAGGAATACTGAAATCTGAAGGCATATTTGGATAGCTAAAGATGCATTTCAAAAGCTAAGCAAAGTATTAAAAAATAGGAAAATTTCTATTAGAAACAAAGAAAAGCATACCAAACTCTTATGTAATATATGGCAGTAAATGCTGAACAATCTCTTTGCAGATAAAGAAGAGACTTGAACAGAAATGGGGTTCTACAGAAGGATGCTGAGAATAACATAGACAGAACATGACAAAGGTTTAGAGAAAATGGAAACAAAAAGGACACTTATATTTAACATCAGGAAGAGACAGTTGAAATTTTGAGGGCATATAATGAGGAAAGAGGGATTAGAAAATTTGACATTCACAAGACAGATTGAAGAAAAGGGGGCAGAGGAAAACAACACATAACCTATGTAGCCAGCTTCAGTAAATGGATGGTGGAAGAAGGTTTAGGAGAGACAAGAAAAAGAAAAAGTTTATTGGGAGCTACAAAGGACAGGGAATTGTGGAGAGCCATGATTGCCAATGTCTCGAAGCAATACAGCACTTAGAAGAAGAGAAAGAAGCTGAGCTTAGTTTAGTACTTCAATAGGGAAAAATTGAGAGGCAATATAAGGTAGGAAGATTGTGCAGCGCCCGATGAGGAAAAGCTGTTTGCTTTGGAAATCAGCATTATGAAATGTTTGCTTTTATCTTGGCTTGAACACCAGGCACTGTTGCCAGTGAAAAATGCCAAAGAGGTTAATTGGTTTCTAAAATTTATGACAAGATCAATCAGGTTGAGAATTGCAATTTAAATATTAACAGATTGTAACCTTCTGAATAGTTAACTATTTCTTGTTCCCAGCAATAGGAATGGAATGAGGGTGCAGTTGATAACCCTGGGGATAAATAAAGAATTACAAATAAGCCAACAGTTGCAAATGTTTCTGGCAGAAAAGCAATAAGTAGTAATATTTTCCAAAGAAAATTACTTGCTAATATTTGAAAGAATTACTAACTTGTTTGAAGCCTGTGAATAAAGAACTGCCATTGTTCTTGGGTTACCTTTATTCTTGTTCTTTTTAAGATTTTGAATAATGTGATCTCAGGTCTTCTTTAAATATGAAAAATAAAACAATGAAAATTTGGATGAGATTTAGAGATTGATTGATTTTTTATCGCTTACCAACCCTTTGCAGGTTATTTAAAGCCAGAAAATATTTTTAGATTTTAAGAATTTTTTTTGAAGATAATAGTTTAGTGATACAAGTCTTACTAAGTAGCCCATAGTTGGGGAAATAAGAGGTGGATTCATACCTTACACAAGTGAATATAATGAACCCAATTGGAATTGGAACCTGCCTTTCTGATTTCAAATTCAGAGCCATTATCCATTACATCATCTACACCAGGTATTCCCAAATGATCACTTATCTAGTAGGCATGTGCCATCAGTAATTACTCAGGGTAGGCAGCTTGTGACCGTTATCTAGTAAATTTAAAAAAAAAAAAATATTTTGCATTTTATGTACAATAATTAGAGTAAGCTTCATAATTTTATTGGATTAAGTGCATATTGTGCCACAGAAGAGAAATGTAGTTGCTTATCTATTTTATTCAGGGTAGGCACTGCACATCTCGCCTACCTAGACAGCATGTCTCTATCATCTAGGTGCTGACCTGACTCAATGTTGTTTAACTTTGGGGATCTTACGGGAGCCTGTGTTTCAATGTGATGCAGCCGTAAGCTGGACAAGTTTTAGAGGCAATGTAAAAGCTAAAAATTGCATTTACTAAAATGTAATAAAAATAAAAAAGATGAGGATATTAGTCTAAATAATGGGATCTTGATGATAAATTATCTCAAAGTTTCAATCAATGCAAACCCAATTAACATATTTGATTGATTAATTATTGCTAAAAACTGATTTTTATGTTTTAGCAATGATTTGTAATTACTAATAATTCAATTAGATGATCAGTCCTTAATATGCTAAAAGATTTTATTTGATTTTATTTGACGTCTAATCTTAAGGTTTGCAGATAAAGGTTAGCATAATGGTTGGTCACTCAGAAAAAGAATTCAGGGTCAATTTTCAAATTAAAACTCTAGTAGAGGAATCAAAAGTTAGATGCAAAGTTGGAGATGCTTGGTGTATCTAGTTTGTCTAGAAAATCAGCATTCAAGATCCTAGCTTTTGAACTGGGTTCAGATCATATTTGTTAAGAATAGGAAACATACAATTAGTTAAGCCATGAAGCAAGCAACTAAAGCATTTTGACATTTTATTTTAGGAATCTACCTTTGCAGAGAAAGCTGGATTTTTAATTTTTAAAATTTTCTTTTTTTGGGGAGGGAGTTGAGTTAAAGGGAAATAACTGAGACATCCGTAAAAGGCATAGCATGTGGAACTAGAACAATCTACCTCGGTGGACAAAATAAAGGGTTTGGTTCGAAATTCCAATCACCTGAAGAAGGCCAGAGCATACAATGGCTGAAACGTTTTGAATATGGCAATGAAGATGTGGATAACAGTCCGAATAATGTAGATAATGCAAGTATTCATGCTTATTTGGCTGATCAACACAAAATTACATTCTTCCCAGAATTCTTCAGGCTATTCAATGAATTCTTTTACTTATGTGGATTTCCTTTTAAGAGAAGGGGTGAAAAAAAAAGAGGAAAAAATATCCATTCCAGTAGAACATTCGCTTTCTGACCATGAGACCTAAGTTCAAATCTCCCTATGGTTGATTTGTCAGGAAACTGACTTCTTGATGTTACCAGTCCGGGGGAGGTGATCCCAGTGTGTGGCTCCTTTAGTAAGTGCCTGAAAAACCATACCATGAGTTGACCCAAACCATGTGAGTAAAATTGGCTCGACAACACTTGTTGGGAGCCATTCATGATTGTGCTAGCACAAAGTCACAAGTCTTTGTGACTGAGGGTTTGAATGTGCTCACCTTATTTAAAGTGTTGATCACACTAGGTAACATGCTCTCTCCCAGAAACTGTAACTAAGGTCCATTCAGTATAGTTGCAGCATAAACCGCAGGTGGATTCTGTGGGTGTTGAACAAACACAAATGTGCCTGAGCAGACGTTTGCAACAGGGAGTGGCTAATGGCCCTAGTAGACAGGCATCTTCACATACAAGCTGCCAGCCATTATTATTTTGCACTGGTTTCTGTGATGAAAGGAAACTAATACTTTTATTACCAATGAAAAAATGTATTTGATTAAAAATATAATGTAATTTATAAGCCAAGTTTCTAATGCTTCCTGTTTCCAAATAAGTAAGACTAAAAATGGTGAGGGTTAGAAAGATTTATGGCAGAAATGATACAAAGTGGCACTTTGAAAGAGAGTCAGTAAAGATGACATTTCAACAATGATCGCAAATGATAAGAGATGTGTTCCATTTTCATTCTGGTTTTGATTAATTCATGTTGACAAAGCAGCTGACTTTGGTTAACTTTCTAATGGCAAGATAAAAAAAAGTTTCTTTGCAAATTTAAAATAATTTCTGTAAATTAATTTTGTAACCTATACACTCAAAATTTAACAGGATTGATCGATTGTTTTTACAGCTTATCAACCATTTTCAGGTTATTTAAAGCCAGAAAGTATTTTTAGATTGTAAGAATTTTTTTATTTGAGATAATAATAATTTACTGATATAAGTCTAATTAATTAACCCATAGCTGGGGAGAGAAGAGGTGGATTTATACCTTTCCCAAGAGTATTTGCATGTAAGTGAATATAAGAACCTGACTGGAATTGGAACATGACTTTCTGATTTCAAATTGCAAGCTATTATCGATTACACCACCCAACCATCCAAGTTTACAGCACCTGGTATTCCCAAGTAGTCACCCATCTAGGTACTGACTAGGCTCAATGTTGTTTAACTTTGGTGCTCATAAGAAAACTGGTGTTTCAACCAGATATGGCTGTAAGCCAATACAAGTTAACAGGAATTTGTCTCGTCATTAATTTTCATTTTCATCAATGGCAGAATTTGAGAGTTCTTTCTGAAAAGATTAAAAAAAATTTACAAGAAGAATGCTTCAAAATGAATAATTTTGATACATTCAAGTGTGACGGAAAATACAGCCCACAACAAAAAATGTATTATTGCCTTTTACTGATTGATAAACTCTTTGTAAAAAAATTTTCTTTTTGCATAGAATTAACAGAAAATATTTTCCTTTAAACTTTTTGTTGAAACAGTAATTTGAAAATAAAATACAAATAATATTATATCAACAAATTAATTGAGCTAAGATGAAAAGAGAGAATGGCAGAAAACGGTAAACATATAAAGGTTGAAAATGTGTTTGAAAATAGGCTTGTTTATGAAAGATAAAATAGGAATTTCAATTACTTTTGGCAAGAGATTTGAAAAGAAATTAAATGAAAAATACATGGACACCCCTCTCCCTTCAAAAACCTGAGTGAATTTTGGGTTGTTATGTTTTTAATAAGAGCAATTTATTTGCCATGAAAATTTTGAACTTGTGAGAAGAACAAATAGGCTCGGCAAACTCTTTGATGTAATTGAGGAAAAGTGTTGGTAAGTATAGTTAAAAAAAATCAACACATGGAAAACAAAAACCTGTAAGAGAAACAATCTTAGTTTCCTTGAAATTTCAAGTTTATTTATTTTTCTTCCTTTTTATTTCAGTTTTTAAAGCAAGAAGCAATGATCAAGAAAGTTACTTAAAAAGAATAATTTTTTTTTTCATTCCTCATTTTTTCAATTTTTTTGAGAATTCTGGTCATACATTTAAAAAAAAGAAAAAAAGGAAAAAAACTTTCTCTTTATTTTGTTCATTCAGGTTGAGGGATGATTCAAATAATGGAAGGTTTTTCTTCATTGAACCTATAAAGAATGGTAAAATTATTCATAGTTATTATGAGTGAAAAAAAAAATTATGATTATCTTTTGCTAACTAGGGTTCATTTTGAAGAAGTGTTGTTGTCAACAAATCAATTAAATTTACCATAAAACAAACATTTCTTTGAGTTCTAGAAAATTCCTTAGGGAGAATTATTGTAGGGGAAAATTTATGAACAAATATTTAATTATATACACAAACAAATCTTACTGGAAGTATAATTAGAGTCTGCCAGTCAAAGAGTTTGGAATTTGTTAAGATAGGAATGCTGAATATTATAAAGAAATGTAATACTGGGCTTCTTAGAATTAAAAAAAAATGGTCCGGTGAGATATAGGGAAACTGATTTACCTCATGTAACCAGTTTAGTTACTTAGCAATTTTTAAGATACTATTCAAAATTATGGAGAGCTTGAACTGTGTGCTCCAAATGAATTAACAAAATAGAAACATTGCTTTTCTTCCAGCAATGCATAGTCTTGAAAAAAAAACTTATTATCATTTTATATAGAAAGAGACTATTTGCATCATCTGGACTGCTGTCCTCATCTGTATTGCTATATACACAACGTTTCAGCCTTGTATGCTCCGGCCTTCTTCAGGTGATATATGTTGGAATTTCAAATTGAACCCTTTATTTAGCTCATGGGGTAGATTGTTCTAATTCCATGTTCCATGCATTTGGGCACATGGTCCAGTGGATAAAAGCATGGGTTGGGTGATCAAAAAGTAACCTGAGTCAAAGAGTTGTGAGTTCAATACCTGGCCACAGCACAGGGAACAAAAGCTCGAGTTACTAAAGGTTATTAAATGAAACTTAGATATTCAAAAAAGGCATGGTATGTGGAATTAGAACAATCTATGCCTGTGGACTAAATAAAGGGTTTGGTTTAAAATACCAATGTATATCAACAGAAGAGCATGGCTGAAATGTGAATATGGTAATAAAGATAAGGACAACAGTCCAAATGATTTAGGTAGTATAAATAGTTACAATACCTCATGAAAATGACAAGGGTCAAAAGAGACTGTATAAACTGTGTAAGTACTTTTGTTCATGGTTAAATTCCATGATATTTTGATAATGCTTCATATAAAGCTACAATTCTGGAGCACTTAGTGAGAATCATTCTCTAGAATAAAATATAAGTCTGAATAACTACTGCTCTACAGCCAGATCAATGTTGGATGGAGATTTTCACATGGGTGAGGCATGCAGTAAGGCTTGAACCTTAGTTATGGACTAACTAAGGTTTAAGTGACCAGGGCTAATTGTCAGTGCTTGAAGCTACTTAAAAGCTAAGATTATAAATATTACTTTTCATTTTTTCTTTAATTATTTCGCTACAAGCAAGGCAATAAAGCCACTAAGATGCAAGGGGGATTACTGAGTGAAGAAAAGCGAGTGAGAAAACAATACTGAGAGGAAAGCACAATTAAAAAAGCAATTCAAGAAGACAGAAGATGAGACTGACATTTCATTTTTTGTAGATTGTAGTTGTAATATTGCAGAATCTTTGGATTCTGTCAAGAATCTATAGATAGCAGAAGCACCAGACCAGATGTGGCAATAATGTTCAAATTAAGCAGGTCATTCTAAATTTGTCCTCTTCCATTAACTCCCTTTTTTTCATTTCCTTTATACATGACCTTTTGCCATACTAAATTCAATTAAGAAAATACCAAGACTGATTGGTTACCCCAGCTATTCTCAACAGGCGTTCCTCTCCACCTTCAGTGGGCCCTGAAGAAAATGAACTGTGAAGAGACCCAGGGGTGGTTATGGTAAGATACAGGAAGCAAAAAATGGTAATGCTGCTGTCATTGTCTAAATTGAAGCTCTATATCTTAAAACTGGGTAGCAGTAGTCTAGAAGGGCAACTGAATTAAAACCAGCCTGAAGACAGACAGACTATATTAGGCTATGTTGCCCTAAAAATATTCACTGCTGCTATAGGTGCAGAGTATGCATAGTGTCCCTGTGACCTGAATGGGTTACAGGTCATAAGATCATGATCTTAAAAGTTACTGAAACACACCAAATGCATTTGGTGTGCTTCAGTAAGTTTTATTTCATATGGTCTTTTTTAAAAGTTTTGTTGGAAAGTTCATTTCTTATTTTATTTTTTTTTATTAATTGATTACTCAATACAAGGCCCAAGAATCACTCAAGGTAGAGGATTATGAAATAAAGTTGATGTATGAACATAAGAGGAGGAGGTAAGTCATGCAGATTATAAGAATATGTCGGAAAGATAGATAATAGTTGACTCTAGACTTGAATAGCTTAAGATTGTAGTGGTTCTTGGACAGTATTTAATCGGGAGTCGAAACAGTAGTTCCTGGGAAGAAGCTGTCCAAATAGAATTTCTTTTTTATTAATGGAATACAAAAGGGAATAGTAATCATCTGTCCTGGTGTAAAAAAGTTGAATAAGTGACCATTTATGTTATATCTTTATTATTTGATTTAGCTTAATCAAAAGTCAATTTGCATTGCCATTTTTGAAATTAAAAAAATAAGATTAAATGAGTCATACAATATCTGAATAGGTCTACATGTAAAAATTCATGACAAGTCAGTTTATCATTTGTAAGTGAATTAGAAACATTGATATAAATGCAAAGATAAAAATATTTAGAATATGGTTTATAGGGCTGCATATTCTTCTATTAGTTTCTATAAAAATCAGGTGGGTGGTGCTGTATCAAGGAAAATGGTTTACTCATTGGATTCTTTTAAACACTTGGGAGTGGCTGACGAGATATCTCATGAGAAATTTCTTTGTTCTGGTTCTTCTTATTCAAGACAATTCGGAGTTGGTGATAAAAGCATTGAAAGCAATGATTATCGTGGAGTGGATGAAGAGATACTGCAGATATGACATCACACAAAAATATATCAGTCCCAAGTGGTTCAACAGAAAAAAAAAAATTCAATTTTCATATCAGTTTTTTTGTTTTCCATTTTGCTATTTATTTCTAAAAGCAGAAACAAAACAAATCTATTTCAAAGATTTTGCTGGGAAGTGTCCTTATCAAATAAACTCTTTCATCCGAGTCAATTTGAAATTCAGCTGAGCATAAAAATCACTGAAACTGCATTTCAAATGCTTTGATTTCTGTATTCAATAAACTTGGGATTGAAAATCCACAGAGAAAAATTAAAGTCCCCAATAATTATAAAAATATGATGTGTATTTAATATACAATGATACAATCTGAGAGAATTCTTTTGTCAGCAGAAAAGAAACGAGAAAATAATAATTATAAAGCAGATCTATTTGGGAGCTGATGCTTGTCCGCTTTTATCCCATGACAGAAAAAAAAAAACTTGTTGCCTTGTTTTCTAGATGATGACTGCATTAACAAGACACAAATCAGAATCTCTGTCTGAATAATCAAGTTTTTGAATCTGACATTAAAAATGTTGTTTTTGATCTGTCACATCAAATGGAGACATTTCCTATGGATTTAGCCAGATGCCTTACAGGCATTCTCTCATCTGACCAGTTACTGTACAACATTTATTTTTCAAAATAATGTATTCTGCTTTGGATGTACTGTTTAGCACACAAAAGACAGGTTAGTTTTGATATCTAAATTACCACCACGTGTTACACTCCAATTCACTGTATATAATTTCATAAAGTATTATTTATGGACATATATATGTATGCATGTAGATTTAATCGACTGGTATCAGAGAGAAAATCAACAAAAATTATAATAATATTGTTAATAAGACTAATAATAAGCCTTTTGACTAAATGGAAGCATGTTGAAATTAGAATTTTCAGACATGCTTGTGACCTTTATCAATGAGACAAGAAATAAACAGTGAAGTGGGACAATCTATTTTTGTGTTTTATTTTTTATGTGTTGTATTACTGTAAGAAATTTGATAGATTTAGCCTAATTGTTTGCCACAATATATATATATATATATATATATATATATATATATATGTGTGTGTGTGTGAAAAATTTCAGATAGTGTATACTGTTAAAGAACAATATGAATAAAGACAAAAGGAAAACTTATCTTAGCCAGTATGT